GGGATTCTAGGATTCGGGCAGGCGAATTCGTCTGTGTTTTCCCAGCTGGCTGCTTTCCGTTCCAAAAGAGCTATCAGCCTTCCGTGAAGGTGGAGGAGCACAACTTCTTTAGCAGTGAGGAGGCTTGTAGCTTCTTCTCCGATGAGCAAGCACCTTCACTTCAGTGGTACTGTCCTGATCAATGGTCTAAACCACCCTGTGAATTTCCAATCAAATCCAAGAGCTCTGCCCCCTTTTTCTGCAACAAAAGAACATGAAGTCAGAGAAAGTAACAGAACACGACAAGGCACTTCTTCCTCTCCATCCATGCAGCTCCTCGCCTGCAAGACCCTCAGCTTCACTCTGGCCACCGTTGTCAAAATCGGCGAAGAACTTCAGTGACCGCTGTCAAACGACTAGCCGATCGTGAAGCTCGACGTTTTGCACTACTGCAAGCTCTGGTTGCTTCTGCACCTCCATGGCTGCTGCCTTCGAATGTGATTGACAAAAACAAAGTTTGTCAACTCACACCCAAAGACCTCCTCCGTCTTCTCTCGAACTCGGCCTGGGTTTTCACCCACGAACTCAGCCTTGAAGATGGCCATATAAAGAAAAAAAAAAAAAAAAAAAAAAAAAAAAAAAAAAAAAAAAAGAGGGTAATGATGATGCTGGGAAGCATCTTTCAAAAGAATAATAAAAAAAAAAAGCAAATGATGATGTTTCTGAAATCATGTGAAAAATATATATATATATATATATATATATATATATATATATATAATAAAAAGAAAGAAAAAAAAACGATGGTGGTGCTTCTGGCACCATCTGAAATATATATATATATATATATATATATATATATATATATATATATAAATGAATGGTGGATCAGTGCCACCGAAAGCAAACAAATGAATAAAAAAAAATTGATGATGGACAGTGATGTATATGTTTTATCAGTATTTAGCATAATACACTAAATAAAACGAAGCATGTTCATTGATTTTCGAGAAGTTACAAGTGCGAAAAAAAAAAAAAAAAAAAAAAAAGAAGAAGAAATGTATCTAACAAAGAAAGAGGAAGATGGAGCCTTCACAAAGGTCGTTCACGTGAAGCCCCACTACTCGGCCAAACTCCAGGAGCGGGAAGCACCGAAGATAGATCATTCGAGGCCCCAATACTTGGTGGAACGCTTGATGACGCCGGAAAAATGTGTCTCTGGAAGAAAGACGCAAGCCTTTGACGGTCACTTTGAACGCGACCTTGAGATTCTTGCATCTCATCAAGCTTCCTCTTCATGCCCGACGAATAGTTATTTGCAAGCACATGCAAACTTCTATTCTCGTACTTAAGCTGTTTAATCTCCTGCTTAAGATCTTCCACCTCTGCCATCAATGATTCCACCTGACGGGACCGAGCAAGCAGGCGTTGGCCCATGTTGGACACAGAGCCCGCACACTGAACACTAAGAGCGAGGGACTCTTGAACGGCCAACTCATCGGACCGTCCTGACAGCAGCCTACTATCTTTTGGAGTAAGGAGGTTCCTAGCTACTATTGTAGCTGTTGTGGCGTCCTGCATCACGGAGTCTTCACCTGTAAGAGGACCGTTAGAAGATAAGAAAGAAGGACACCATACATTACCTTGAAGCGGCGCAACCGGATCACTGCTGAGACTCAATTCTAAGCTAAGGTTCGATGGGTTAGCCATTTTTCAAAGGTGTTAAAAGAGATGGGTGGATGAAGTTAAAACTCAAAAGGCCGGAGATGATTTTCAGGAATGAGCAACCTTCGAAGTGTGCATGTTAGAGGTGATCAATACCTCTATAAAAACGAAGAGGCGCTTGCTCAGAAATCGAAGGGCCGCTTGTTCAAAAGTGAAGAGACATCGCTCTGCAAATCTCAAAAGCTGGATTTTCCGGCGTAAGTTAGGCGACGCTTTCTCGGCTTTCCAGAAAACGCGTTCAACTTTGTCAAAAGATCTCCGACAAAGTTGAAAACACGTGGAGGCTGGCGACGCTTTCGCGGCTTTTCAGAGCACGGGTGCCACTTTGTCAAAAGATCACGTGGAGGTCATCATAGCAGCTACACATCTTTAGCTGACAAGCGCAAAGTTCGGCGACGCTTTCTCTGCTTTTCAGAAAACGCGTGCCACTTTGTCAAAAGAGACGCTCGTTCAGAAATCGAAGAGGCGTCGTTCAAAAATCAAAGAGGCGTATTCAAAGATCGAAGAGTCGTCACTATTTCAAAAAGCCGAATTTGCGAGATCAAAACGTTTGTCGACAAGGGTAAAAGAACAGTACCACCACTTGCTATTGGGAAATCCCTATATATGTCGACCTTCATCTTTTATGGCAAGGCAAACCTGCAAACAAGAAAAAATGCCCAACTCTTCCTCACCTCCGAGAGTACACTCCCAGCAAAGCATCTCAAAATGCTCAGTCTTCTTCCTCTCCGGGAATACCCTTGCAAACAAATGATACCAAGGCAAAAGTATCTCATATCATCAAGGGCGAAAGCAAAGGTATCTCATATCATGTTTTTCCCCTATCTTTTCCTTTGCCCTTGTTCTCACCTGCCAGGACAAGGACAGAGAAAGCAATATGTCGGAACCTCCACTCAAACTTGCGCTGCCACCAAGAAGTGATGGTCCATTCAAATGCAAGGTTTGCATTCAACTCCTGCATCAGGAACAAATAGTACAAGAGAAGATGCTAAACCTGCATAAGGAAATACCACTTCTGCAAAGGGGAGCAAGTAAGGCAAGTGAAAATGATGCATTGAAGCATGTGGAGACAAGCTACGACTGCATATGCTGAGCTATCCTCTAACCCTCTTCAATACGAATTGGAGAGATTGAACAAAGAAACAGAAGAAAAGGAGTAAGCTCAGACCTTCGGGGAAGACCAAAAGAATCCTGCTACCCAGTTCAAGGGTAGCACAAAGGAAAATCAACGATAGGGGGAGACCAAAAGAATCCTCCAGCCCAGTTCAAGATCAAGCCTCGATGGCCCTTGAAGAAATCACAAGTCCGATTCAAAATCAAGTGTTCACCACCCTTGAATCAAATTCAACTCCAGATCAAAGGAGTAAGTTCAGACCTTTGGAGGAGACCAAAAGAATCCTCCAGCCCAGTTCAAGATTAAGCCTGCGGAAAATCAATGATTGGAGGAAACCAGAAAATCTTCCAGTCAAGCTCAAGATCAAGCCTCGATGGCCCTTGAAGAAATTTCCAGCCCAATTCAAGATCAAGCCTCGACGGCCCTTGGGTTGACATCTACATTAAGGGACTTCAAAACGCATCTTCTACATGTGACAAGCACATGTCTACGACGCGCCTTGAAGTGGGGGCATTTGTAGACATCAAAATTTCGGTGAAATGAATGTTGATCAATAATTAAAATTTCAACGTTCACGTGTCACATAAATTTTACATGTAGCGTGTGATTCAACAAAAAATCGAAATAAATTGGAAAAGTCATCAAATATGACACGTGTCAATACCTGGCAGAAACGATTTATTTCATCTGATTATTTAAATCCAAAAATCAAGTTTTTGAATTCTATAAATATGAGGCCAAAGGCATTCATTTGAAGGGAGAAGGAAGGAAGGAAGGAAGGAGAAGGAGAAAGGAAAAGAAGAAAAGAAGGAAGGAAGGAAGAGAGGAAGGAAGGAAGGAAGAAAGGAAGGGAAATTGATATCACACCAAAACCTTCAAGCTTCGGAACTCTAAAGCTCTCAAGCAAATCCCGAAGGATCAAGAAAGCACTCTTCGTTCTTCGTCAAATCAACCTTCAAGATCAAGCCCCAACGGCCCTTGAAGAACTTCCACCAACTCAAGATCAAGCCCCGACGGCCCTTGAGGAAAGTGTTCATCGTTCATCATCCATCAACCTTCAAGATCAAGCCCCAACGGCCCTTGAAGAACTTCCACCAACTCAAGATCAAGCCCCGACGGCCCTTGAGGAAAGTGTTCATCATCCACACATCCGTTCATCCTTCAAGATTAAGCCCAGAAGCCCTTGAAGATCCGTTCATCCTAAGATCAAGCCCCAACGGCCCCTTTGGATCAACAACCTCAACAAATCCACACATCCGTTCATCCTTCAAGATTAAGCCCAGAAGCCCTTGAAGATCCGTTCATCCTAAGATCAAGCCCCAACGGCCCCTTTGGATCAACAACCTCAACAAATCCACACATCCGTTCATCCTTCAAGATTAAGCCCAAAAGTCCTTGAAGATCCGTTCATCCTTCAAGATCAAGCCCAACGCCCCTTGAAGATTCATTCATCAACTGTGCATCCTTAGATCAAGCCCCAACGGCCCTTTGGATCAACAACTCATCCACAAACCCACATCGTACGAAGATAGAATCAGAGGATCAAATTACAAAGAGATTGTAACCCCAAAATCATTAATACAAAAAAAATATATTTTGTACACGTATTCTTGTCGCTTGTTTCAGGAATTATTCGTGTTTACAGGAATTACTTTCTTTCGAGCTAGGAGAGGGGACTGCCCTGCTCTCCTGTGCTGACAATTGAGGACTTGCAGCAACTGCCCTGACTATGTAAGTTACTTGGTAGCCTTTCCCTCCTCTTTTTCCCCAGCCAACACCGCACGAGAGAAGTTCAAAGAGTGGACTGCGGCCACTTGAGCCCCTACCATCGTTTAAACAAACTTTTGGTCTCTTGCATAACTATTAGTGTAACTTTCTCTTCATCGTAATATAATCACCAGTTTTTTCTCTCTCTTTCTGCACTGTCTATGCAATGTTTCGTAATCAAAGTTTTGCATTGGAGCCGGAGAAATTTAGTGTATTTATCATCTCTTATTCTAGGATGCCGTCTAACGCACATGTGGGTTATGCCAGTTACAATTAGTCAGGTTAGTGTGATCCGTTCGGATCTCCCTCCCTATATATTAGAGTAGTTTAGACCAATTTCGCAGGCAGTGTGTTCAACCCTTGCATCCATGTTCAAGTCTCCTCCCCGTAGTTTAGAATAATTTAGAATATCGTCTTGTCAACAGTCAAAATCACTGGCTATTCGATCTACAGGCTTAAAACAAAAACATTAGCAGCACACAACACACATCATGAGTGACAAAACAAAACAGAAATCACCCGTATTCAACAACCCACAACTCAACTCAATACAAACATGTGCCAATTCCCCAGTTGCCAAAATCCAAAAAATTTCAGTCATTAGCAGTTGCTAATTGCAGCGACAGCAGCTCATCTTCCGGGATTGTCCGAATGTGACAATCCGATTTCGGGTACGACACGCACAGCAATGTGTACCCGCCTTCCACCACATCGTCGCTCAGCATTCCTTCGCTCTGGTCGACCGTGCCGTTGAGAAGCCTGGCAGGGCAAGTCATGCACACGCCGAGCCTGCAGTCATGCGGCACAGAGAGGCCAGAGTCCAATGCCTTCTCTAGTATTGTCTCATCAGGTTCTACTTCAAGGTCGGTAGACTGGCCCTCGTGCTCCACCACCACCTTGTAGGATCGGACGGCGGAAGAGTAGGACCGCCGTGAGCTGTGGCGAGGCCGGAGATTGAGCCGGAACGAAGCGGAGAGTTTGGTGGAGTGAACATGTTTTGGGAGGGTGAAAGAAGGGGATGGCGTGGCGTGAAGAGTTGCCATGGTGTGTTGGGTTTTGTCTTTTGGGGTGGGAAATGAGGGGCAGTTTTTGTGTTGTTTATGGTGTGGAAGGAGGATAAGGTTTTTGATGTTTTTGTGGTTTATTTTTTTATTATGAGGCATGGGCAGATGGGCTAATGGGTTTGTAAACTTTTATTTTTATTTTTATTTTTAATTTAGATGTGTAATTATTTTATTTTTAATTTTAAACTCTTTATGTATTTTTAAATTGAAATTCATTTAATAATTACTTTTAGTTTTATGTTTTTACTAAAAATTAAAAGTTAAAAGCCAAATTTTAAAAAGAACAGTTTTCATAAAAATAAAGATTAAAAAAAAAAAGTCAGCAAATCAGTTTTTGATTTTCAACGAATATAAAAATAAAATGGTTATCAAATAGATACATCGAATGTGATTTTTGCATATTTTTTTTAATAGTGTATAATCATGTGTTTAAAACTTTGTCATTTAATCTAGGGTAAATTACATTGTACCCCCTCATGTTTGAGGTCTATTACAATCGCATACAACATCTTCAAAACATTTCATTTTCATACCTCACCTACTATTTTATTTCAATATAGTACCTCCATTACATTTTCCATCCATTGATCCGTTAAGAGCTGATGTGGCGGGCACAGTTATGCCACGTGGCTGCCAAATGTGTGTTACATGGCAAAATTTTTTTTTATTCATTTAAAAATATTATAATAATTTACCCTTAAAAAAAAAGAAAAAAAACCCAATTTGAAACCCACCTCCGTGGCGCGCAACCCCCATCCCTGCAAACAAACAAACAAAAAAACCTTCCCCCGACCTACCTCCATCTCTTCCCATCACCACCACATCCCCTCCCCATCACCATCGCAGCCCCCCAAATCACTCCTCCCTCTTCACCTTCCCGACCCACCTTCTCCCTTCTCCACTCTTTCCTCCACTATTTAAATTTAAAAAAAAAAAAAAAAAAACCAAACAAACCTAGAAACTCATCTTCTCTCTCCCCTCCCGACCCCCATCACCTTCACCGAGCCCAAACCCCTCCACCTTCGATGCTCTTGCCACCATGTCCAACCCTCTCCTCCTTACCACCCTCCTCCACTTACTCGCTGCAACTGGGCCCACTCCGACCACCCTTCCTTCTCTCTCCCTAGAGACCCACTCTCTTCACCGCTTGTTTGGGCCTAATCGGGACTCCCAAATCCCAACCCTTCACATCAAATATGAAACAAACCCACCAACCCATAAACCAAATTAGAAAGAATCACAAAAAAAAAAATGCAAGTAAATGCAAAATAACGAGAGAGAGAGAGAGAGATGTCGGAGACAGCGAAGGAGAGGGAGGCGAGGGGTTGAGAGTGGTGGTGGGGGGAGGGGGCTGAGGAAGGGAAGGAGTTGGAAGCGGGGCTCTATAAATGGTTCAGACAGAAGGATTTGGGTTTTGGTTCGGTGGTGGGTCTCGGCTAGGGAAGGGGAGATGAAGAGAGTGGAGGAGGGAGAAGGTGGGTTGGGAAGGGGAAGAGGGAGGAGTGGTCTAGGGGCTGCAATGGTGATGGGAGAAAAGGGAGGTAGGTCGGGGGGGGGGGGGGGGGGGGGTGTTTAAGGGGCGGAGAGGGAGGAAGGTTTCTGGGTTTGTTTGTGGGGTGGGTTTCAATTTTTTTTTAAAGGGTAAATTATTATAATATTTTAAATGAATGAAAAATTATTTTTTTTGTCATGTGGCACAAATGTGTCAGCCACTTCAGCTTTTAACGGATCAATGAATGTAAAATGTAACAGAGGTACTATATTGAAATAAAGTAGTAGTTGAGGTATGAAAGTGAAATGTTTTGAAGATGTTGTATGCGATTATAATAGACCCTAAACCTGAGGGGGTACAATGTAATTTACCCTTTAATCTATCTCTACTAATTAATAAAGCACTCATTGTCAACCAAAATCCTATGAAATTACCAGTTTAACCCTCTAATTAAAACAAAACATGAATAAGAAATATGGGGCAGAAATGTAATTTCACAAATCAAATTTTGCTTTTTTTTTTTCAAAATCTCACTTACATGTAATTTTAACATATCTTTAATTTAAAAGAAAAAAAAAATTTCTCACTTCCACATTCTCTATCAATCTCTTTCTCTCTCATTCCATTTAAAAAAAAATAATAATAATTTTCTCACATACTTTGTGTGTGCCTATATGCTAATTTAATTTAACCACAAAAAAAAGCTGATTGGGAGATGTCATAAATCGGATGTGCAAATTTTTTGTAGGGACATAAATTGGTCAGATCGAATCTCAAATTGTACTTTGGAAGCTTGCTGGCTAATACGATACCATGTTAAGTAGGAATACCTAAAAGCAGGCTAGATTCAACATAGAACCATAAGAAAACGATAATAGTATTTATGACGTCATATTTCTAAGCCAATATATATATATATATATATATAAATAAATGATTTCTGGCAGCTTCATTGCATCTTGATCTTCTTCTTCACAAGGCGTGTTCATCGGATGTGAGGTGGTGATTATCTGTCATTCTCCTGGTGAAATTCTCAATCTTTCTCTCTCAATTAAGTGTTAATCATAGCTTTTAAACTGTTTTTCTTTCGCTCATCACATCCACACTCAGCTCATCATTCTCCAAATTAAACTCATTTTCTGGGTTTTTTTTTTCTTTCAAAACCAGCGACAAAACGCACTCACCCTGATCATAATCAGATTACGAAAATCATTAGAAAAAGTAATTGAAATTTGAAACATTTCAAGAATATACTCTTTAATCCTTTAGTTGATAACGTAGCAGTCGTTTCCTTATTTTTGCTAAATGATTGTGTTAGATTTTTCTGACTTTATTTTTTAATGAATATTTTTTTTTAATTCCATGAAGAATTAAAATTTATTGTAATTGTGGTTAGGAACAAATTTTAAGTATCAGGTGTGTTTTTGGTTGCAGTAATTGAAATTTGAAACATATTCAAGAAAATATTCTTTAATCTTTTTGTTGATAGCTTAGCGGTCCTTTCCTTATTTTTGCAAATGATTGTGTTAAATTTTTCTGACTTATTTTTTTTATTCCATGAAGAATTAAAATTTATTGTAATTGTGGTTAGGAATAAATTTTAAGTACCGGGTGTGTTTTTGGTTGCAGTAATCTGTAAAAGAAGCAAAATGGCAGTCGAGAAGGCCGGCATTGCCAAAGATGTTACTGAAGTAAGTTGTCGAATATCCGAGTTTTATGTGTACTAGAGTATGGTGTTTTCAATGGTTTGTTTATGTTCATGATGCCGGAAACATCTGTTTTGTTGTGTATAGTTAATTGGGAAAACCCCGTTGGTGTATCTGAACCAAATCGTGGAAGGTTGTGTTGCTCGAATCGCTGCCAAATTGGAAATGATGGAGCCCTGCTCCAGTGTAAAAGACAGGTATGTAGGCGTTTTAGTTGTATAGCTTACTACTTGATCATTTTCTTGTACAATTGCTGATTTCACGGAAGCTATACCTGAAAGTGTTGCAGTTTTGCTCCGATTTCTGTTGTGGTTCCTAATTATTGAAAAAACAATGCAGGATTGGCTATAGTATGATTGCAGATGCTGAGGCGAAGGGCCTTATCACGCCTGGGCAGGTTAGTTATTTAATAGGGAAACTTGCTGGGTAGGAGTGTAATGTTTTGAAGAATTTGTGCATGAAAGAGAGGACGCAACCACCTTCCTCGTTTACTGTTCTTGGTTTCTCCACTAGCAGGCATTTTATGTCTATTTCTAATGATGAAAAAGATGCAACTACACTTTCTCACGGAAGTTTTAGCTGAAAACATGAGTGAACTGTGATTGGAGAGGATTTTTTGCATTAGAAATGTTAGCAAAAATTTGATAATAGTCTACATTTAGTAAAACTACTAAAATTTTTGCTTTCACCAATATTACAAGCTTCCTATGCGATGTTGGTACAATGAAAGAAAGATGATATGGGATTTTTATTTGATGGGAACTATGATCTGACTGATTTTCATTGAATCTGACTTTGGTTGGATGGTGTTTTCTGAAGAGTGTCCTCATCGAGCCAACAAGTGGTAATACTGGGATAGGATTAGCTTTCATGGCAGCAGCTAAGCATTACAAACTTATCATTACAATGCCTGCTTCAATGAGTCTTGAAAGAAGAATCATCCTCCGGGCTTTTGGAGCTGAGTTGGTTCTCACAGATCCTGCAAAGGGCATGAAAGGGGCTGTTCAAAAGGCTGAAGAGATATTGGCAAAGACACCTAATGCCTACATTCTTCAGCAGTTTGAAAATCCGGCCAACCCTAAGGTATCTACTCAATCATCTATATCATATAAAGCTGACGCAACTTGAAGAAAAACAAAAGGTATATTGTGCTCGGAAAAAGTGATTTGATTTTTTTTATTGCAGATACATTATGAAACCACTGGACCAGAGATATGGGAAGGTTCAGGAGGGAAAGTAGATGCTTTTGTTTCTGGGATAGGTACAGGTGGAACTATAACAGGTGCAGGGAAGTTTCTAAAGGAGAAGAATCCTGACCTAAAGGTTAGCTCGCATCTTAAAGTTTAATCTAAATGGTTCTTAAGTATATTTATTTATGAGCTTCTTTTGAAGAAGACCTGAACAATAGTCTGTACTTTCTTCATATTTTGATGCTCTTTTACTTTGTCTTATTGTGTTCATTTTTATTTCTTAATGTTAGCTGTATGGTGTGGAACCGGTTGAAAGTCCTGTCCTAACTGGAGGAAAGCCTGGTGAGTTATACTGCAATGCTGCTCTGAGATTATTTGAATGCCTTGCATAATCCACGCCTGCAATCTATTTACTGGCCTTTTCACTAGTTTAGAGAAAAATTTGTTCGTAAGTTCATTTAAGATTTTCGGCCTTGCAAATGTAATTGGGTTTCTGATGGAGATAGGGCCGTAATAAACAGTTAGAGTACTGATCTCAGATGTGACTGGTAGCATAGAGAGGAGTTTCGTTGTGGGATACTCAGTTACTACTTCGGTGGAATGAGTCTTTTGCTTCTGTTACTGACAGAATGTTTTAAGACTCTATTTTCTGTAGCTTCTGGCTTGCAACTTTCAGTTGACTTCTGATTTATTAACTAGAAAGTTTGTTTGAGTGAAAATTGTTCCTAAACCCTAATTCTATCGTACATGGCGTACAAAATTTAGGTTTCCCTCATAAAGCACACTTATCTTATATGTTTATGATGGGCAATTCTAGTTTTTGCTTGCACGTTGTTGATGCTAATTATTATGCTCCTTCTAATGTAAAGGTCCACACAAGATCCAAGGAATAGGAGCTGGTTTTATCCCGGGTGTTTTGGAAGTCAATATCATCGATGAAGTCATTCAAGTAAGGCTCAAGGGTTTTTTTTTTTTTTTTTTTCTTAATTGATATAAATCGTTATATTGTTATTTGTGATACACTCATTTTTGGAAATGGAACTCAAGCCGGTTATTTTGTCTTTGGTAGTGTTTTGATGGACGAATGTATGAATGGCCAGCACTTCTGTGAGCTGGTGTAAACACGGCCATTGATTTTTCATATGGAATGCCTTTAACTCTGCAAAGAACTTTGGAAAAAACACAGCTTGTTAGTTTGTTTCTAACAGCTATTACTGCTTCCGGTTTATAAATCTGTGATGTGTTGCAGATATCAAGTGATGAAGCAATTGAAACTGCAAAGCGTCTCGCACATAAAGAGGGTTTGCTTGTAAGTTCTTAACCTAAAAAAAAAATCAGTAGTTAGTCAATCACCGTATTACAGCTTTTGCATTGAATTACAAGCGTCTGATTATCTGCTCCAGGTGGGAATATCATCTGGAGCTGCTGCCGCGGCTGCAATTAAAATTGCAAAGAGACCAGAAAATGCTGGAAAGCTCATTGTTGTAAGTTGGATCACTCCCTTTCAGTTACATAGACCTTGTATTAGCATTTTGTCCAACTCCTAGTATACGTCTATGCATTGCAGGTGATATTTCCAAGCTTTGGGGAGAGGTATCTCTCCTCTGTGTTGTTTGAGTCGGTGAGACGGGAAGCTGAAAGCATGACTTTCGAGCCCTGAGCTGATTCCTCGATTTCTGGCTGCTTCAAGTGTCGGCCAGTGGTTCGGAGTTGTTTCGCTTCTTGAGTTAAAACTAGGATAATCTGGTTGTGTTTTGAGCCCTGGTCCTGTTCTCTGGGGTTTGGCAGTTACAAATCCATTTTCTCATACCTTTTGTCTTTGCATCTGCAACGACTAAATTAACTTCTTAGTCGTATCATCACTTGTTTGTTCCTTCACAAAATAATTCTAAAGGCCTCCTTCTCGGCCTTCAATAAAATTAATTTCTTAGTAACAAAGGATATAAGGAATTTATTTAGTAAAGTGATTTCTGCACATGCTTAATTTTGCCCCTTAATAATTATTCGTTCGTGTTATTCAATCTAATGGCTAAGAGAATGTAGAGGTGAAAAAAGCGTGTACGATGTGGTGTTTAGTTGGCTTGACAATTCTCCCTCGCACTTTTTTTCATGTGTGAACGGTTAAAATTTAACTAAATCTTAGATCTCAACCGTTCATATGTACAACAACAAAACTTTATCCCAACCAAGTGGAGTTGATAGCACGAGGAATTGCATATCATCCGTTATGAGACTGGCTCTAGCTTGTCCTGCAGAAATACCAGGTGAGGATTAGCATGCAAGATGCTCTGGAAACACTCAATAAAATCATGATCAAGGATTGTGGATGATTCGAGTCTTAATTTTTCTTCTGTCTAGAAGTTTTCATCTCCACCATGTACAGTCACCAACGAGCTACTAGCCTGCAAGCAAGTAGAAATGGTTTTATCTCCGATACCTGACGGTATTGCTACCGGAGTTGCAGTTTCCCCTCGCACTTTAACGAGTGGTGTGGCCACATTCTATTTATAAACCTATTGAGAACAATGCAGTCACCACCCCTGCACTGTGGGATCCTTTAGACCGTCATATACGATAATTTCATCTAAATCTAGCTCTTCAATTGAACAATGTATCGCATACATTGATGCATACTAGAGAAACTCCAAACCACGATTCTATTCTCGTCTGACTCCAAGGTCCAGTCACGCCTCAGATCAAATGAAATCCTTGGACACCAAACAGAACACCCTGTTCAAGGAAGAAATAGTTTTACGTATATATTCTCAGAGCAGAAAATAACATCTCTTTTAATACTGTCGAAACCATCAGAGCCTACCTTTAAATTCTCTCCACAGCTCTGTCAAAAATAAGTTTATGTACGGTCTGTAGTAGCGGAACAATACCAACACATGGCAGCCACTTGCCCGTTAGGATACAGTACGTACAGGGGCTAAGGAACTGAAAATGTTGAAGGTCAACTCCAAAATTCAACCAACGTCAACTTCAAGTTTTAGGCCTCTTTGGTGTGTCTGAACTTTCAGGCTCAGCTTTGCGCTTTATTCCTAAGAAATGTTCAACCTGAGAAAAAAAGATAAGAATTATTGTTTCTATGGAAATGAATGAAAAAAAAGGGGAGAGAAAAGAACGGCAAAAATGAATGAACAGAGATATTCTACTACAAACTATCAGCACCTGCTACACGTAAGACAGTACTACTACATAATATATCATCTAGAAGAATTTTATATAGATCAACATCAAGAAACCAGGGCAAAGAACTGTACAAGTTCACTCACCTTTCTGTCACCAAGCATTGGGGTCAAGCTTCCCGGGAGATCCCTCTCAACTGTTGCAAAACCACTTCTGGGATCGCTAGTTTGCCTGGAAACATGAGAACAAAGGGGGGAAAAGGGTAAATCAATTGGGAATTCTAATGTTGAATAAGGACAGAAAGGATAAAGCAGGGAAGCATATACCACAGCTCATGTTTCTTATTCAATTCTTTAAGATATTCAGATAAGTGTTTAAAATTTCGAGAATTAATTGAGTCATTTCTTAAAAGTTGTTAATCACCATTTGAACATATGAATATCTCACATATACCAACTCCAAGCCTACTTTACTGATTTTCTTGTTTAAAGCTGTAGTAGTCGAATCCTACTGAAACTAGCAATAATTGATCCAAAACCAAAAACAAAATGAGTTGAATGAAATGATTGAAAAGCATACCCTGGTTTAACATGGCCACTGAGGACAAGATATGGTGTCTGCAAGCGAGCTTGAGTGTCCCTCATCCTCTCTGCAGACAGTGATGGCGTATCTGAACTCTTCATCTGCTTCAACTTTAGTTCTTCCTGGTATTGCTTCATGCGCTTTTCTTGCTTCATCTTTCCAGGTCCCTTCCCATGGAACTTATGAGAAAGTATCCTAAAGGCTTCCTTGGAAGTCAACTGGTGAAAACAAGGAATGCGTTAGCAGCACATAATAATAATACTACATGATCACCGATGAAGCAAAGATAAAAACATACAAAATAATGCATGCACCAAAGCTTCCCAAACCCAAAACTTCTTCGTGGAATAAGCACAAGAATATTCAAATTGAATGTAGCTAATATACTATCACTAATGAAACAAAGATCAGAACATACATATTCTTGCCTACTACTCAGCTTTTAAAGAGCAACACATCCAACCCTATAATTGAGCCCATGTAAAAGGCATAAGAAATTATCAAATGACCAAGGCTAATATAATATAACTCTATGACCAGATTCACCACAATGTAACCATGTCAAACCATAAAAACAAATTAACTGTAAAAGAACTGAACAGAAGTACTTACAGTTCGGCCAAATTCATCGATTCTCTCAATGCGAATATCCTTTTCCTGATAGACTTTAGGTGCACGAGTATCCTTTTGATGGCTGGAAGAGGATGAACGAGTATCCCTTTGTTCTTCCTTTTTTTGACGTGATGTATGGGTCTCCTTTAGCTGCTCCTCATAATCATCATCGACAATACCAAACAGTTTGCTCTTTTTCTTGTCCATGTTTCTACCACCCCAGTCAATACCTTCTTTAAGGGTTCCTCGATCTTTAAGTAGCTTCAGTACACCTGATAAGCCCTTCCCAACTGCAACTTCATGGATTGTTTCATCAGGAACTATCTCCTCCTTATCCTCATTCGCAGGTTGTTTGTCTTCACCCATATCGTTAACTTCAGTCCATCCACCAGGTTCATCCATTTTTTCTTCATGAGTTACTTCAGGTTCATCTTCTTGCATAAAAACATCTTCACTTTCAGGCTTGTGGGATTCTGAAAAGGTACAACAAAGGATAAAAGTCATTTCATTTTCTATAATCAAAACCTCCTTGAGAATAACATTGTAAAGCTTGCAGAAGGCTCACAACTTGACACACCATTAAACAAATTTAAAGCAGAAAAACAAAGATCTAATTGGCATGTAAAAAGTCGCAACATCATACCCCTCAACAGGACATTCATAATTAACGATCTGGAATTTGGTGGAATAGGAAGATGGCCACCTGCTAACTATAAGATGATGACCAGTATGACATGATGTCTAAGATGGGAAGGGAAGGACTCCCCATCCTCAGCCAATAGAAAATCAATTACACATTACCCCAAGGTTGAAAAAGCGAAAACACAATGATAGAAGATACCTTCATCAAGCTGGAGGCCCCAGACAAACTCTTCCATCTCGGTGAAGACAACCTTGTTATCCTGTGCCTCTCCAGTTGAGGGGATTTGCTCATCTGCAGTCTGACTGCTGGCAGTGGTGGTGGCAAGGAGAGCAACTGCTTGTGGACCAGATACAGCTTTTTCCTCCTCTTTCTTTTTAAGAGCCAATTTCCTTGCTTTCTCTAAGGATTTATACAGATCATCATTATCATCATCTGCGAAGACAGGAGTTTCATCTTCCTCTCGTTTAACAGAAAGAGTTTGTTCCAGTCGCAATGATTTAGATGCCTCATCTGCTCTAGCATAAGCCAACTGGTATGCACTATTTCTCCTTTCAGCTTCCAATCTTTCTTGCTCCTCTTTACTGGCACGCCTCTTTGCATCATTCCTAGAACCAAGGTCTTCAACACCCAACCCTGCAGATACTGCTTCTGCTTCAAGGGCATCTAAGTCTAGCTTCTCCCTCTTCCGCAAGGATTTCTTTTTCTTAGGTTTTTTAAACTGAAGCATTTCATCTTGAGTATAGAAATCAGATGTAATCTTCCCAGACATGTTGAGATCTTCAACGCGGTTCTTCGTGCGAGTACCCTGTATCCTCTTACGTAGCTAGCAGAAAGAAAAAAGGCAACTGTTATTCTTTTCATTTTCTTTTTTGTTTCTTTGCCTTTATCTAAAAGCAGTAAGATCACACCATAAACTTCAAAGGATCATAGCTCAAAAGATAGGGAACAAACCAAAAAGCAGAAAGCACCACCTATGAGAACACCAATTCAATTCACTGCACCAAATGCCCTGAAATCCTATTCTCTTTTTTTATTACCGCTCACAAAATTATGAAGAGAAAGAAAATAGTACCTCTTCAAGTTTCTTTTCTGCTTCGCCAGTAAAGCGTCCTCTTTCATCTAGAGTTAACCCCTGAAAATAAACATAAATTCACATATCACAATCATGTTCCAAGCTCAATGTTTCAAACTTATGTACATGAACAAGGGAAAACACTGGGTATAAACTGAACAGTAGGGGAAACCATGATATATTCACCTCATCTGGGGTTGTATCATCGTATTGCGGAAGCATTTTCTTCTCTGCAGCAGGGTCGTCATTAAACCTGATACACCATAACACATACATATAGTTAATACCAACCAGTGTGGGCAATGAGATATGTGGAAAAATTCCAGGTTATACTAGATGGCTAGAATAGACAATGTCACCCAACAATTAAGTTGCTTTTGGCAAATCAAAATTTTTATCACTTTATAATTATGGTTAACATACTTATCAACATAAACCACCGTTTTCTTCTTTGCTGCCTTGTAAGCCTCGTCTCGCTGCTTCTGCTCTCCAATTTCCACATTCTCAAGCATATCAATGTCTGTTACATTGAAACAAAAACCTCTATTAAACAATATAAAATTAAAACATCCATGCCTACAAGAGGCAATGGGCCCTGAGGGAAACAAAGTAACTCAAAATTTCTTTACCTTCATTAATGTCACCATCGGCCAGAATATTCTGATCTTTGAGTGTTAAAACAACTGCCCCGCCTTCCATTACTTTGTCAAGGCCATGAAGAACTTTAACACCAGCTAGATCATCTGTAAGCAGGTATTCAGAGTAAGGTGATATCAATCAACCAAGAAACACAGAAAAAGCGTCATAGATTCTAACTAAGTCATTCTGACATTATTGACAAGTCAACTGAAAAAGTGAACCAAACTCTAAAAAGTACTATCAACAATATTAGAGCCCACAACTTGCAACTGTTGGCTCATAGTTACAGATATAGAAACCATGTATCAAGAGCTGGTGCTATTGTCAGAATACTGAATCAACCCTCTAGAGGCATACAAACACAAGTCCTCAAGGTTGGTGTACTTTTTATTTTGTGCTCAGGTGTCAAACAAATTCTGTAACTCTACAAGTTCTACATAAAATATACATTCTACCTTAACCATAGCCCCACATATTATATGTGCTCAAATATAAAATGAAAAAACAACTAAATTCAAATTCCTGTTGATGTCCCAGAGACCCTTAGCTTCTATTCCGAATATTAAAAACATATCTCAAGTGAGAAGGAATCTTACGAGTGGGATCCTGGGCTGTCTCCTCATCTTCACTTTCTCCTTGACCAATATTGTCCTGAGAATAATCAAAATTATATGAATGGTAATTATAAAATCAACAAGCGTAAACACAAACAACAGGAACACTGTCAAACTGACCTGTTCCTCGAAAATCTTAGAAAGCTGTATAGCTTTCCGCTTTTCTGCATTCCTTTTCTCCTCGATCTTACGACTCCTACTAACCCATGCTAAAACCTCAGGAACATCTTCTGTTTTCTTCTTTAATCTCTCTTCCTTGGTCCTGAGAATAAAGCAAACCCAATATAACTCATTTGTAGCCAAAGCAAAGAAATATACACATGTTACATGGCAATGTCCTTAAAATAAGTGTTTAAATACATCTATGTATAGAAATCAATATAATTATATTGCCACCATCTGCAAGAATGTTACAATCTTTGATTGTTCAAATTAGATTCAAGTAGAACCCATGTAGTTGCAAAATTCAGAAAGAACAGACCCACTCTCCCATAACATCCATCATTCGGCTACATTCAAAATAAAAGGCAGCAAGTCCAGAAAAAAAGAATGCAAAAAATATAAAAAGGAACCATCATAAGTTGTAACCACAATTGTGTCAAGCACAAATAACTCCTAAGCAAACTGAACGACCATATTTATAACTGAAGTTGTGTGAAGGACAAAGTGACTCCAGAGAAAATTGCAGGCAATATCAGGATATAACTAGAATACCTACCAAAATCACAAGATACAATATACCAAGCAAAGTTGTCAATAAGTAATTGATAGTTGGTTCAAACTTCAAATAGAACACTGCTAACATACTACAATCACATTTCTCTTCAAGTGATGTCATTTACTTTGACACAATAAACCAAATGGATAACAATGAATTGTTTTCATCCTTTAGGAGATGTTGATTCTATTTTTTTTTTAATAAACAGCCAGTATGCTTTTGCATATTTAATTCTGCTTATTATTAACTTCGAAGCACATAGCCCAAGAATATTATGCATATTGTACGTCACAGACAAGTTCAGGTTGCCCATAAGATCACTTTATATGCTTGAATACTCCAACATCCAACTTCTTCGGTTCCCAACAAAGAGCAACGACATGCAATAATGCTTAATGCAAAATGGGAGATGGAGCGGAAATAATTCAAACAATGAAAAAGGTTGACAACATAAATAAAATATGGCATAAAGAGAACATAAATGAAGATGTACTTACTTCAAGATGCGTTCCTCAAGCTCCGATGCTGATAGATGTGTTCTGCTTGATAAGCTGTCAGTATGCCGTTCGTCCTCGGCATTATGGGAAACCTTCCCCTGCTTAAGAATGTCTTTATCCCTGTTGTCATCACCATTTAGCTTCGCTTTATCATCTCTTTCAAGGCTTCTCCTGCTTCCTCTGTCTCTTGATTTATCCTTATCTTGATCCAACTCCCTCTCTTTTTCCCTATACTTGTCTTTCACCCTCTCCCTATCGGTATCTTTATAGCTGTCCCTTCCTTTCTCTCGATCTTTAAGTTTTTCTCTCTCTTTTTCTCTTTCCTTTTCTTTTGCCTTGTCCCTTTCCTTTTCCCTTTCCCTGTCCTTATCCCTATTCCCCCTCTCTTTCTCTCGTCCTCGATCACTATCCTTCTCTACCTCTCTCTCCTTCTCCCATTCTTTTTCCTTCGCTCTATCCTTTCTATTTCTATCTTTCCCCCTATCATGCTCTTTTTCTCTATGACTCTCTTGATCATAATCTTTCTCCTTCACCTTATTATCTCTACTCTTATCCTTATACCGGTCATCTCTATCATCCTTACTCCTTTCCTTGCTATATACTCGATCCTTTTCCAACTCTTTAGATTCTTTCTCTCTTTCCTTTACAACATCACTCCTTGATCGTTCTCGGTCTATACTTCTATCATCCTTCTCTTCCCCTCGGCTACTCTTCTTCCTATCCTTGCTCCGGTGCCTGCTTGACTTATCATTCCTGTTCTCCTCTAAATCATCATATGTCCCTTCATCCCGGTGCTCTCTGGTCGGAGAGTCATCTCGATTGTACTCCACTTCCATAACCACGAAACTCCACCCCTGAAATTACAGAAAATCAAAGAAATCAAACCACATAAACAACCCAAATAACTTTGAAAACCAAACTACATTATAAATTCCAAAATATCAGGCGTCTTTGGTAAACTGATAATATAACGATGAAAAAGCATCAAACTTCGTCAACTTTACTTAAATTTTCGGGAAAAAAAAACACAATACGATATTCACATGAACATATGAAGATTCAAAAAACCTAATCAGCCAAATTAACTTATAGAATTTAACGAAAAAAATCAATGCTTAGAAAGAAACTGATACCTTATGAATGGTATTGGGGTTTGTTTGGCGGCAAGTATCGGCCGAGCTTCCGTCGCAATCTCAAATATCTCTAAGCTCCGTTTTGTGAACTTCGACTTGAATTTGTTTGATTTGGTGAATCGTTCAGAAATTTAACAACAATTGAGTTGCGAAATCCGGATTTGGATGGCGTCGACGGCGATTTCAGCGCTTGAATTTCCTGAATTTCAAAGCTATTTGGGAGCACGACAGTTGAGTGAGAATAACGGTGAAGTGGGAGGTCAGAGGTGTGGCGGATTTGGGTGGGTTCGAAAGCGGGGAAGTGCAACGAGTTGAACGTAGGAAGCATTCCCCTTTTAAACCGAAGGAGAATTCTCTACCTCTTAAGTCTTTCTGCCCTTCCTTCATGCTTCAACGATTAAATTATATTGACATTGATTTTTTTATAAAGATAATAAAACAAAAAATAATATGTAAGAGAAAAAAAATGGAAAGGAATAGGAATAGGAGGTTAACCTTCTCCTTTAAACCCAGCCTTTTCTCTTCCATTCTTTTTATTTTCGAGGAAAAAAGCTTGTTAAACTTTATTCAGACATGTCAAAATTTTTATTAATTATATTCAATCAATTCGACGGATAACAATTTAAAAAAAAAATATATATATATATATATATATATATATAAACAGTAAAATGCGTGGGCAGTGTCACCCTTTTTATAGGTCATTCAAATGGAAAAGGATCCTCTCTGAATTACTTCCTAATAATCCATCAAATCAGGAAATCTGTGTTATTGAAATTTGATCTAATGGTTGAAGTTATTATAATTTTTAAAGTGACCCCCTGTTTGTAGCCGTTGGATCAAATTTAAATGACACGGATTTCCTGATTTGGTGGATTAGGAGGAAGGGATCTGGAGAGGTGGGCTGGGTAAGTGTGCGTGTGCTGGGCCGTGGGTGCGTCTGGACTGGGTAAGTCCAGTTCACTCCATTTGTTCCACTGTCACATGTGGGCTTTACCACTAATTTTGGGCTAAATCTTGGCTGGTATTTGAGTTTTTTTTAGGTTCTAAAACTCAACCCAATTTTAGAACAAGGGTTGGAAAGAAGGGGGGAATAAAAGGGAAAATTTAGGACTTGCTCCAAGGGTTGGAGTTGGTCTCACATGTGGGCTTCACTACTAATTTTGGGCTAAATATTGGCTGGTATTTAAGTTTTTTTTAGGTTCTAACACAACCCAATTTTAGAACAAGGGTTGGAAAGATTTTTTTTTTTTTTTGGGGGGGGGGGGGGGGGGGGGTGTGTGTGTGGTAAATAAAAAGGAAAATTTAGGACTTGCTCCAAGGGTTGGAGTTGATCTCACAATGGGATTTGGGCTAAATCTTGGCTGGTATTTGAGTTTTTTTTGGGATTCTAACATTTAACCTAATTTTAGAACAAGGGTTGGAAAGAAATTTGGGGGGGGGGGGGGGGGAGGGGGGGGATGTTTGGGGTGGGGGGGGAATAGAAGGAAAAATTTAGGACTTACTCCAAGGGTTGGAATTCGTCTAAATAGTCGAGTTACTCTCCATGCCCACCAACTACTTAATAAAATGCCCCAAAGCGACGTTGCTCTTTTTATTGCATAACCAAATGGGAGATCAATGGTTGAATAATAGCATGATAGCTTACATTGAGAGTAATGTCTTTTTTTCCATTGAGAATGAAGTCATAATGTAGCGTTTGTGGACAATTATAACTTGTATTGTTATTTGTTCTATAAATTATGAATGATGGAACTATGATTTAAATCATATGTCTAGTTTGTGAACTTTTATATGTGATCCTCCGAATAACTGATTGAGAGAGTGTTTGGAAAATATAAAAGGGGAATGGTTTTATTTACTTAGAGATTTTATCTTATATTATTTTATTAAGATTTAAGGGTTTTTTATTTTTTGAACAATTGACATTATTTACACTAATGGGCTACCAATAATATAGTTCAAATTACCTTTCACTTAAAAGTTACACGTGAAGAAGAATACCACATACCGTAGTACTTAAGTTTGTTTATATTCAACAAATTTTAGGTTAAGGTTAACTATTCAGTTAGACTTGTAGGTTGTTCTCTATTAATACCTATATATAGGGAAGAATAAAGTGTGGAATTATGAAATATTTTGTTTAGCTTATATTTCTATTCCAGAACAGAAATAGAATGAGAAAAACAAGATAATACAAGCAGCATGGATACAAAATCAATACATCAAACTGCAGGAGCTGAAGACAGAATTAGTGATTTACCAGATGCATTTGTTTGGGCCTCTACATTGTCTAAAAGATGGAGAGATGTATGGACTTATGGAGATTTTTTTGAACCTCAATCGAAAATCTGAAGCGTATACTTTCGTTACGCAACTCATCTGTCATAAAAAAATTTCATCTTCATTGTAACTGTTTGTATTTTAGAGATGAAGTTCTCTTTATGCATGGTTGGATTTGCACTGCCATCAGGAGCAATGTTGTTCAACTTGATCTCTGTTTTTATGTTTTTGAACTTTATAACATCGGGAAGTTAGAGTTCACAATGCCTCAAAGCATTTTCACAAGCAAAACACGGTGGTTCTAAAGGTGGACTCAAATTGTATTACCCATGATTCCCCTGCATCAGTTTGTTTCCCAAGTCTCAAGTGCCTTTATGTTATAGCTCATACTTCTGCAAGTATTGCCTCACGCAGAAAGCTTGTCTCTAACTACCCCGTGTTTGGATTAATATTTAACATTGGGATTGGGCTTTATAATGATGAAGCCTAAGAATGCAAAAGCAATAGCCTTCAACCTAATAATAAAATAACAAGTAATTAAATAAATGAAGCCAATGTTAATAGCATACCTAAATTGTAACGAATGTGCTAAGACCATGTTAAATTCCACTTTTAACAATAAGCATCCTAATCTTTAAAAATTACAAAACTAAAGTAATTTACTCACAATAGTCTGAATGAGACACTAACAAATATAAATAATAGGGTAACAATTGTAATAAATACGTGTCTATCATAAAACCTATGTACTTTTCATTCCCCAAAGCCTACAAACCCTTGTAAACATAAAGAGAAGTGGTTGCAAGAAGTTCAACCTTGTCCGGGTCTCTTTTGTTTGTGTTAATATAAAGTAAATCTGTTGTTTAATGCATGTTTCATTGTGTTTTCAAATCATTTTCAACGATCTTTTGTTCAAACTTCACTTATGATCAATCTAGCTAAAGTATTGAACTTTAACTCCTTTAAAGTTAATTGTAATGGTTGGAATGGCCCTGAATCCCCCTCATCTTGAACATACAATATCATGAGTTAAAAGTCATTGTTTACAAGGCAAGAAAAAGAACTTTATACAGACTTAATTCATCTATGACAATCCATTGATAATCAAGAAGTCTAAGTAACTTGTGGCGCAAGTAATAAACTTAATTCACACTTATACAACAATCTGTTATACAAAGATAATAGTGGCATGATCAAATCTATGTTAGTCTTGATTGTGAGCCTCAAGGCCTAACAAATGCCCCACAAAAGACACTTTTTAAACTAACAGCAAACTCATATTATAGCACACCAAGTAACAAACCTTGCCTGACAGGCAAGAGCCCCGGGGAGCTATGTGAGGGACAGATCCGGCCCGAACACCCCATCCTTGAAGATTTGGAACTAAGGGGATATTTCCCAAAAGACGGCCAGGATTTGAACATCTCTACTCCTCAAATAACTCAGAGGTAGCGTTGGGCTATTCACTTCATTAGTAAAGAGAGTTTTCCAATGCTGAATACTTGTCTCTTGTAGCTCCTGATGAATATGATGATTGCAATTTGCCTGCATTTAATAATTTCTAATAAATGTGTTTGATTGCAAATTTCTAATAAACGTGTTCCACAGAGCACCTAATCTACAACATATTCGTCTCGACCTTAGTCTTGCAAATTGGAACAAAGAAGCGGGCAGTTCAATCCACCGGCTTTTGTGCATGTTTGTTTGTCTTTGCACCTCAAGACCATCATCTTGGAGGGATTCAAGGGACTTCCATATGCGATGGAACTGGCAAAGTATTTCTTGGCCAGAGATGCACAAGGTACTTTCCATGTTCAAAATTGGTTTAAAAATGACTTGTCATGGGGAATTTTGTTAGGTTTCAGGAATGACGAGTTCAAAATATCATCATCAATGGAGGTTTCATTTATTTTTGTGAGTATTTTCAATGGATATAATGTGGCGAAAGGTTATGCTAGTTGTATGCATATGAGTTTTTACATGTTAATTTTTTATGCAGCAACACTTGACTAATTATAGTTTGACATGTGTATAGACTTATCCTTCGTGTTTTTATTGAGTTACTGAATTTGAACATCACTTTGATTTCTTTTTGTGAACCTTTTAGATGGATATAATGCAATAAATAATCTATTTCATGTCCATGATCTTTTATGGTCATGACTTGGTTTTCTAACTACACTATTATATGATATGACCTAGGATATATCATTGGAGACGCTTAAATTCTTGATGAGCGCTATAAGAACATGAAAATATATTTGTAAATCTGAAACACGGTCACGTGACGTTATTATTTCTTTCAAATTTTAACACGTTGGTTTATTAATACACCCATAAGTATAACATATCGACTATATCATTTTCTCTCTTATTACAACACGTGAATGGTACACCGGGGTGACTCACGTCACCGTACTCATAAAACGTCCTATGAGTAACGGTGCTAATTGGAGTTGAAGATAGAAGAATGAAAATACAACAAATGTAAGTATGAAAGTGATAATTGAGTAAACTACACGGGGTATTTGTGCAATTAAGCCAAACAAACTAGTAAAATACTCGCTGTGCCGAACCGCATTTGAGCAGCTTTGCTTCGTCATTCGCTTCCTCCTTCTCTGCCACTCTCCCTGAAGTCTACAGAGCAACCGTCTTCTCAACAGTTTCTCCGCGCCACCACTCAGGTACGCTTTCTTCGCCATGGATGTTTATTTCGCCTTCTTCTCATTTGAAGTAGGATCATAAGGTTTCGAAACCTCTGATTTCTGTTAAATTTAATCAAAATTAATAACTGATTGGGTTTAACTGCGCCAAGAACACGGATTTTGTTTGGTGAACGTTTGTGTTGCCGTGATCTGAATAAGGAGAAAAGGGAGTGTTTGGGTAGCTACGATTTTGTGTTTAAGTTGGAATATTAGATGGTTATGACTTTTCAGTATCTGCAGGAATAGCCCTAAGTTTTATTGTTGTATTCGATTCGAACTCTGGTTCTGGATTCGGCCTTCTGAAACTGCATAAAGTAGACAAAGAAACAACATTTTTCGCATTAAACATTGGTAAGTATCACATTATATGTGAATTTATGAAAAACTATACAATCGACATCATAAAATTTCTTCAAGTTCTTGAAAAATTTAAAGATATTGAAAAACCAATGCGCGGTTATTGCATATATATGTTTTCTGAGCTTGTATAGAATTTGAAAATGGAATTCATACACCATTGTGGTGATATTTCGATCTACTTGTGATAGATTCCAGATTGCTAGTGGATTTTAGCTTATGTTTTTTTTGTTGGATTTCCCTGTTTATATATTGCACTGTGTCAATTTCAGTATGCATAGTTGGGCTTGGTATGTTCAGAAAAATCGTAGGACAGGGAGGGGAAATTTACTCTTCAAGAACAAAGTGCAGTTGTAACCTGCTTCTTTATTCCGGCTTCATTTTGATCTAGGTAGAGATATAGGAACAGCTAAGTAATTTCGATGCTTTTAGGTTTAGTAAAGAACTGTTTGTTAATAAATTGGTTGAACCAATTATTTTTGAAACATTTTTTATTCTGGTTATTATGTACAGCTTCAAATTCCAGTTCAAGATACTTTAGGGTTAAAGATAGACTCGACTAAAATTCCTAGTTAAGTTATTACCGGCAAACAAGTTCAAAGATCCAAAGTGTGTAACTCAATGTATCAAACATAGTAGTCATGCTCATCCAGGGCCATTGTTTGCCTTGATATGTAACATTTGGAAAAAATCATGTGGTCGAGGAGTTGCTAACAGCAGATTCTATGTATGTGCATATGTAGTGGAAGCATACTATAGAAGATTCACGGAATACATTGATTACTTAGATGTTTTCTCTTCAATAACTGCTGCCACATATTGTTTCCGTGAGATAACAACATTTGATCAAGGAGTTTATGATAAGTTGACAGCAGATTTTACGTATGTGTATATGTAGTGCAAGTGTGCTGGATATAGATTAGTCAACAATATAAAATTTGCCGTGGAGGGTTGCTGTCATTTTGCATCCTTAGTTGGGGATAGTCACACCAATTATAGTTGCAACTGGAACAAGACTCATATTAAATAAACTCACCGGTGGTCTATCATGTTAAAAAATTGTTACCCAGTTGTAACATTCTGTTTTAGCTTTGAGGTTAATTTTTCTCCCTTAACTAAATGCAGTCGGTTTTCATTACCCAAGGAGCATATGAACGTTGTGTATGACTAATGTAGATGCAGCTGCAATTTTAATGTGTGTTTCTTTTAATAAATTGTGTACATTACAATAACCAAGAAGCAGAAGCTATGGGGTTTCTGCTAAATGCGATATACTGTATGCCCTTTTGTTTTGATCTATCTTAGCTAGTGAAATTGTGTTTGCGTCTATTCTTCCTACTCTTGAATTTCGTTGCTCCATCATTTGTAGGGAATCATGGCCACTAGTAGAGCTGAAAGGGATCAAAAGGAATATGTAAATGAACAAGCTGTCGCAAATAAGTTTGCTGATATGAGGTCTGAGCTCAACCAAATCTACTCGAAAATTACTGAGCTAGAGATGGAAGCGAGCGAGCACTCACTGGTCATCAATGCCATCCAGCCACTTGATCCGTCCAGGCGATGCTACCGGATGATTGGAGGTGTTCTGGTGGAGAGAACTATCAAGGAGGTCCTGCCAGCTGTGCAGCGCAACAAAGAAGGTATTGAGGAGGTTATTGCCAGGTTGAATGAGGCATTGGAGAAGAAGAAAAAGGAAATCTCTGATTTTGAGGCTAAGTACAAGATCAGGATACGGAAGGAGCAGGGTGAGGAGAAGGATGATAGCGCTCGGAAAGAAGGGACTGCTCAGGGAGTCCTGGTTGGCCCTGCCGGTGGAAGCGGATGAATGATGAGGATTGTACTTTTAATGGTCTTCCACCACCCTTGTTTTGTTGTCTCGAACTTCTTAGATGTGTTTTTCAAGCGTATCAGGTGGTAGAATGGTTAGCAAATTACAATTATGGCACTGAATTATTGAGAGTATGTACATTGTACCCTATTTAACTATGCTTCTCTTTCTTTCGTAAGAATTTAAGGGCGAAAGCACAAAATTTTAAGGCGAAAGTATGAGTTTTTTATGTCGGTAATTTTAGTGAAGTTCTACTTTGGTTCATGTAGTTTCAATTATTGCAATTTAATCCATGTTAATTTGTTAATTGTTGCGGTGCAAGGACAGTAAGTAAATTCCGTCAATCTATGAATGAAACTAGCACTGCACGTTTAAATTATGCCGGAATAAAATTAAGCTTGTCCTCGAATTGCAACAATTAGTTAATTACACGAGTTAAATTATAACAATTAGTAAACTACACGAGTTAAATTGCGACGATTTGAACAAAAAAGCGCAAGGCAGACAAATCATGATTTAGTCAATTTTGAATAATCCAAATTATACAATGAATGCTATTGAGTATTTGATTCTCTCTTTCCATAAACACACCATATGGGCCGGGTCGGGTCTGCGGGCCCTTGAACCTAACATTCTCACATCTCTCACTCTCAGCTGAAAAAATCCTGAACCCCTCTCCCCGCGAAAACCTGATCGGAAAACTCAGCCAAAATGGCATTGACAGTGAGTAACACGACGCTGGAACCGGCAATGACCGCAAGAACCACCCCGGTGGTCCCCAACACCTTAGCGAAAGCCGGCCACTCGATCTCCCTTACTTCCTCCACCACTCCGCTCAAAAAGTCCCCATCTTTCTCCTCCTTCCTCTTCTGCATCGCCGCCTTGATCTCCTTCCCCAACTCGCTCAACTCGACGGGTTGACTCGCCGCCAATTCTCCTTCCGCGGCCGATTCTTTGTCTTGGGTGCTCACCGATTCGGCGCCGGACTCGGAATTCGCCTGGCCTTCGTCGACGGCTTTGAGAAATGATTGCCTTCTGTTCTTCTGTGTTACGGGCCGTCTGGGTTGGGATAGGGGAGTTGAGTGGCTACCGGCACATGGAGGTTTCAACCGTACGGATGAGTTCAGGTGACCGGATTTTGTGGGTGGCGGGAAAGGTGAGGTAACCGGGAACTGTACGAACATGCGTAGAGCCATGTTTTGGTGTTTCTGGGTGGTGGTACTGGTACCTGGTCAGACTGAATTTGGATGATGGTGGATTTTAGGGTTTTTTGGTTTTCTCATTTTTTTCACTAGGAATTTTAGGTTTGTGGGGTCCATAATGGGTACCTGTTTACTGGGTCGGGTCGTACTTGGGCTCTGTTTTGGAGCCCAGAGTTCAGTTTTTCTGTTCTATCCTGTTAAGCTGAGCCTTTCAGGCCCAAACTTTGGTCGCACGTCACACATTTTTTTGTGCATTACATGGAAGTTGAGCTTCAAAGGACTTGTGTTTACATTAACTTGATATCTTAACAGGTCACATTGTGTTAATTTGTAATTCAAGTCTGAATTCGATTAAAAGTAACCGGTGACACCACTCGATATGTGTTAATCATCAAGAAACATTTTATTTTAAAGATAAAACACCGAACAACAATCAACAAGAACAAAAAAAAAAAAAAAACAAAAAAAAATATCATGCACTATTGAAATTATTCGTATTTTCGAGATTCAAAAGTCAATAATAGTAGTTGCCGGGGTTGTGGGATTTGAATGGTAAAGTCTCACATAGAAGAAGGGTCAAACTGTGGAAGGACTTGTAAGAAATCGTATCACTTTTCACGAGTTGAAAGAGGCACCGCCCTTCAAGTTTTATCACCCTGCAACCTTTTCTGAACATTTATACGAGCCATGCATAACTCACTTCACAAACGCTTGTGCCGGCTTCGATTTGACGTGATACTGTAGCATATGCAACGTGAGAAGTGTCTTGATGCATGCAAACAAGATGCATGGCCTACAGGAGAAGCGACAGAAGATTTCCCATGCCATTTCCGACGAAAACCAAACGTACAATTATAGCCACGATTCATGAAACTGCAGGACATGTAAATAGCTTCCATCAGAGTCAGACAACAAAAAAAAAAAGTAAAGGATATTGAAGCAAATTCAAGTTTTGTCAGATACGTTGCTGTATTTGAATGGAAGTGCATCCTCCATTGGCATAGCCTCCAACAGTCCCTCTCTCCTCTCTCTCCGTGTGGCAGTGCTAGATGTTTAAATAAGAGTAATACAAACTACTTTACTATACAGTTAATGAGTCTACCTTTAACTGCATTGGGGGTTTTCTGTACAACTGTAGATATATTGTACCTCCTTTTGAAGGGACATGCTCCACGTTCATGGATTGGGATCAGTTATTACCCGTAAATCGCGGATATATATAATACGTATATTCATCAAATATCGCCTATCACCTATAGGTTTTTAGGCTCATTTTGAGTTACAAGTGGATAAAACATAAAAAAAACTAATGAAAAGAATTTGAAAACTTTGAATTTTAACGATAAAAACGAAATAAAAAATACTAAGATTGACTTTTTAGTGTAAAAATGTGATTTTTCGTTAAAATGAATAGTACTGAGAGTTTTTCGTTAAAGTTCTCTAAAACATATGTAGGATATGTGTGGTATATATGCGAGTAATAACATGTCTCGCTTGATGACCAGTGGAGCGGAATACTTGCTAAAAGCTAATGATATATACGTATGTGTACTATACATATACAGGTATATTGCATGTGTGGAGTTTAGACATTTAATCCAAATCATGGGGTCCATGGGAAAGATCCCTAAGAAAATCATCGAGTCGAGTTGATTGAGATGTGATGTGATCATCCATAACATTGAGTCGAGTTGATTGAGATGTGATGTGATCCATAACCCGACAATCCTCACAACACTATTCCTGCTCTCCTGCTATTGCATTCTTTTTTTATTATTTGATTGTCAAAATGTACAATACTATCATCTTCTACATTTAGTGTTTGGTTGTTTCTCCAAGTTTGTAGTCTTCCGTTTTGTTTTTTTTTTTGTTTTGATTGACTAACGATAGAGATACCATATATTTAGAGGGATGGGTACGGTTTGGTGCGGTTTAATTTTGGAGTAAATTGAAATCAAAATCAAAATTTATTGTGGTAGTTCAGTTTGGTACAACAATAGAAACCAAAGTGAAACCGAACTATTCGATTTTGATTTGGTTCGATTTCAAACGGTTTTAATTTCGATTTGGAGTTCCCAACCTTTTTTTTTTTAAATTTTATTTTCATAGTTTTTTCAGTTTGATTTGGCTTCCAAATAGGATAGAAGCATAAGTTACAGTAAGTAAAACCAAAATTGATAACTACTATACTAAAATTCAAGGAAATTCCTTTAGAGTTTGCTTTAAATCAAAAGCAAAAGATAATCCCAGCAACCAATATCCACTATACTAAAATTCAAGTATCCAAATCCAAATTCATGTATGGACTCCACCAAATAAACAATTAAATCCCAACACCTAATGTTCTAATTAAATTAAATATTTTTTATATCATGCGGTTTGGTTCCAAATATTAGGAACTGAAAACAAATTGATATTTTAGTTTTCGGTTCGGTTTCAAACCAAAATGTTTCAAAATTGCAAAAACTAAATTGTTTGGTGCAGTCCGGTTTTGTCTGTGTTTACATTTTAGTTTTTAGTCTCAAGTGCACTCTAATATAGACCACATTCATATATCATCTTATGTGTGATGAATATAACTAACATCCAATGAGATAAGTTCATTAATTGACCTAGAATGCAACAGACTTATTTTGAAGTTCATGCATACACCATTTGAAGCTAACATGCAACCACATATACTTTACGTCACTTAATTAAAATTTGAGTTTATGTTAGACTCAATAATTCATCAAACACGAAAGTTTGTGAAAATGTGAAGAAAATTGAGGTTAGTTCCTTCAATCTTGCAAGGACTTCACTCTCTCATTAGCAATTGATTTTAAAGTAATACCTCTCCTTCCTTCAATTTTATCCATCATGAAATTATGAAATTTTCATTTTGGACGTGATATGAAGTTGTTTTGAATGCTAAAACATGCAAACTTTGACTTAATAATATTCTATGTGTGTATGCATATGGTTCTTAACTTTTTATCATATCTAAGCACACACATAGATTCTAATGTCTACCATATTCCCCAATTGTTAATTACAAGCATGACTAATTAAAATTGTCACAAAGAATCTTGATCTTGTCCCTCTTTTTGTATTTTTGTCCAAATAATTAAACAAACCTTTTTCTGAAAAGTAAAATTAAGAACAGCATATATAGCTAATTAGCTAGGCAGTGTCATGAAGATTCTCCTACATGGTTGTGTGTGTGTGTGTGTGTATTAATTTGGCCTAGTCGTTTGTGCCTCTCTCTCTCCAACTTGGCCTTATTCAGTTTACATTTTATTATTTTTCAGTTCTGCTCATCTCCACCTACAACCTAATGCACATGCTGGAAATCGTGAAATTAAAGTATCGAACAAATCGACTATTTTAGTAACAAATTATTAACTCGAGACATATGGTCTGGTGTTAACTTTTGTATTCTGTTAATTCTCTTTATTATTATTTATTAAACATACTTATAAAAAAAGCATATTTATTGATTTTTCATTTGAACTTGTATAGAGCTGTCAATCCCCTCATGAACTTTAATTTTAACCAATTACCCATTTGAATTTTTAAAATTAAAGTTTGAGGGGAAAATTGGCTAATTATAAAGCTTCAAGGGAGTAATCGACTAAAATTAAAGTTCTGGGGGAAGGGAATTGGCACCTTCATACAAGTTCAGGAAACAAATCAACAAATACCTCTTATAAAAATTTATGCAATTTAAAAATTGTTTGATTAATCATATGTGTCGAACAAATCGACTATTTTAGTAACAAATTATATCTTCACAATGAACCATAATTTTTTTTTCTATTCATATTAAAATGAATGGTGCTGATTAGAAAGAAAATAATGTCATATCGTTTTTAAAAGATGAATTACTATTACATGTAAGGAGCGGAATAATTTCCGTCTTAAAATGATGCAGATCATACACTTAAGACAAATGGTCTGGTGTTAACCTTACCTAAACCAACCAACTTTAGGAATAAGTGTATAGTATAAAATAATAAGAAAGCAATATTTCCTTCTTTTCTTGTAGTTGTTGGGGTATACTTTCTTTGGATCCTCTTTACTTTGTTCCCCCATCTCTCGATTATGCTTAAAAAACAGTACAACCACACTGATCAAAATTAACCTTGTTGTACCACTTGTAAGCTTTGGGTTGCTCAATGCTTCTGCTAAATATTTGTACACAGCTTACAGAGTGGACCTTATTTTTTATGATTTAATTCTTGTGGATTTAGCTATAATATATGTATCATTGTCAAGCATGATCGATCCGTCCAAATGTCCAATCAAAGCATGCAATTTTTCTTGGCTGCATCCATAACTCTTATCTTCATTTTAATAAAGCTTTGAGAAAGCCCCATATGTAACTGACGTTCCAAGCCGACTAAAGTTTCGTTACCTTCTTTTCCGAAAAGTAGTCTTGTCATGTGGCCTATGCAAACGAGTCGAATTCAAATCGGCCCATTTATAATCGGATTAACAAATTCAGATCTGACACGTTAATTCATATCCGATTAGTATTGGATTTGTATCGAATCAAATCCCTATCGAATTTAATTTAAAATTAGTAAAAATTAAAATATCATTAGTATTAGATTTTATTTATTTATTTTATATATTTATCTAAAACTTTCATTTTTTTTTATTATAAAAATATTCATCATTCTTTATAGTAAAAGGTGGGGGAATGAGCTATACCTCGCATGGTCTAATTTGGTTCGACTTTCGGTTTTGCAAGAAATTTTAGATTTCTCAGTTACTAGTGAAGATGAATATCAATAGACCGTAGTACTAAGTAACAAAACTTTCACGTTGCATAATAAGAAAAAGGATATAAATGTATTTTTATTGCATAAAAAACTTAAATTACCATTACACAAAAGTATAAATAATACAAAAATCAAGTATTTAGTAGAATACCATAAAAAAAGAGAGTATACTGTAGAATAATGACTCCTTAGATTAATTGTGTGTAAAGATTACAATGTATATACAGGTTTGATTACACCCTTATGTAGAAATAATCCTAATATAATTACAAAATATAGTAATGATAATAAATCCTTGTCATTTAGGGATTCTAATTAAGTCAGATCAAAATTATATTATAGGATCGGATCAGCCAGAACAGATTTTATAATCTATATCCTATTAGATACATCATGACTTGTAATCTTCAGCACCTTAGTTTGGAGTAAGAGTTTGTTAAAACTACGGTTGATAAAACTTTTATTGATGTGTCCAATGGTTGGCTACAAGGGCGAGAAATGAGTGGTGTGATGCTTATTGTATCATTTCTTGTTTTTCACTAGCCTGTGTTAGCAAACCACGTCTTCATTGTTTCATGCTAAGATGTGGTCAATTCCTACACGCAAATGTTTTTTTGTTTTTGTTTTCTTACGCTTTAACTCGTTAATAATTAATTTAGTGTTCAATTCACGCATGCTACTAGACGTTCTGTGTTGAATAAAATATACATAATCACCCTTAATTGGCTACACATGTATCACTCTCCTTGGGCAGCATTGTTCCGTATTTCATCCCATTCATGCATGTTTTAGGGGTGGCAGAAGATAACAACTTCTTTCTTTAGAAATTAAACTTTATTTTTGATTGTTTGATGTGATATATATTTTTAATTTAAAAAGATGTTTTATTCCCTCATCAAGATTATATAGATAGCATAGTATAAAAATTATCCATACTTAAACGTGAAAATAAAAAAACTATAGCTGTGTCTTTTAAAAAAGGACATACGGCCTAATTACATAATGACGGAGCATAAAGTACAAATAAGAACACTAACAATATTTCTATCTAAAATACAAAACTTTTAAAAGCAACAAATCAACAGGAAGGCCTTACACAGTAACGATGTGGGCCGATAAATAACTTTTTCAAAGAAAACAAAGTGGGATAAAATTTCGAGATAAAAGAAAAACTTTGATGTGGTTAATTATTCAAATCCTTTATACCTTTAATTAAGAAATACTTAAGTCTCGTTGTTACTTGTGGATAGCTCCCCTTACATGCAGGGACTTAATTTTAGAAGGACCACCACAGGGCCAATAATGTAAGCCATACTTTTCTTGTCACCACTTACCATTGCCCCAGTGACGAACATTCAACCACAAAAAAGTACATTGTTAACCTAAAAACGTTTTTTTACATAACATAATCAACAAATACTACAAGAAAAATATATAAACATACATTTTGAGACTTCAACATATCCCACGCCTTCCTTGGTTTTGTGATCATCAAAATACGTAATTTCCTTTGTCCTCATACATAAAACATGAAACGCCGCCGCTAATGAGTTTCTGGTTGTTCTTGACGGTCATCGGCCACCAAAGCTGGTGGTGATGAATCTTCAGCACACAGTAGGCAGATGAGAAGGTCGGTGAAGGCATTAATAATGTCCTTGTGGGCGTGTTTCGGATTGAGCGAAAGGTAGCAAAAGAGAAGCTCATGTAAATACTCCATGTCATCGCTTGTACTATGATGAACATGATCACCTGATTCACCTGCCGGTATATGATCTCGATTCGCTTCGAGCATTTCCTCCATTGAAAGCCGAAAATCCATGTAAGGGTTTGAGGAATACTTGGAAACGCGCACGCCTTTGGTGACCAACATTCTTTTCTGAGACGACTTGGGTTTTGTGGTGGTGTCTGGAGACTCGACGATGGAGTTGGATTGTCCCGGGGAGGAGAAGAAGAATCGTTGAGAGGCGAAGATGGTGGCAAAGTCGGGAGGGGAGTACTGGTCAGAGTCTGAGTCGGAGGAGGAGTAGAAATGATCATCATCGGCGGAGGAGGAGGCTGTGGGGGATTTGGAGGTTGAGTTGTCTGATGATGAGTTGATCAAGTTGAAGTCATTATAGAGGGAGTTGAAGTTCTTGATGATCAGCGATGTACATGAGGTGTTGGTGGTGGAGCAACGTGGTGGCTGGTTTTCGTGGTCTAATTCGTTTGAGGCGTGATCTGGCGGAGCTTGGATTGTAGGTAGGCATTTGATGAAATTGGGGAAGCAGAGGGGGAAGCTCTTGCCTATGATTTTTGACATTGTTTAAGAGATAGGAGAGGAAGATGAGCGAGAGGAGGGTGTGTTGTTTATTGTTGAGACTTATGGGATATGGGTTAGCTGAATGAGAGTTGGAGATGAAATAAACGGTGGAATCCTTATAAGTTGGCTTTCATTTGGTGAGAGAGAGAGAGAGAGCACGCTACAAAAGTCCTTAAAGACAGGGAGGGAAGGGAGGTGAGAATCGTGAGATTTTCTTGTGTTTTGTTCTCTCTTTGTTGGTCCTACCAAACAACAAAGGTTCTCTCTTTGTTTTGTTCTATTTCTTCATTTAATATCATATTGACAACAATAATGCTACAAGAAGTATAAAACTCATCACTTTATTCATCGTCTCTCTCTATTAAAAAATAAGCCCTGTATAATGTTGTATATGAATTCATCTGTACTAGAAAGATGGTCAACAACGTGATTAGTTTGTGTGATTATCATTATATTACTCATCATAATAATTCTACTTTTAGAATGGCAAGAAAAACTTCGCTCTTTTTTGTTGGGTGAAAGCCTTGGATATAAGCAGTGCTATAGTGCACACGAACGAGTATATATAGGTTAACCATATAGAAGCTTTCATGTAAAATTGTATGGACTAGTTTGGATGTGCTTTTATAATAACTAAAAACGTTTTTTGGAGAAAATATTTTTGGATTCCAAAAGCTCTTAAAGTGCTTTTTGCAAGAAGCACCAATTATGTGCTTCTTCTAGGAAGCACTTTAAGTGCTTTTCTAGGGCTTGGTTCTAAAAACATTTTCACCAAAAGCACTTTCAGTCATCTTAAAAGCATATCCAAACGAGTTATTAATTAACTTAGATTATATATGTTAATTAATTTATTAGTACATGATTTATATGATACAAAACAATCTTATCTCAGCGAGCTATACATATACACGCACACTATTGCAAATTTCTCGTATACTTGCAACTACTTTGGGGAAGTCTAATCTACATCCACAACATCCACAACATGAAATGTCCGTGACCTCATTCAATCTTTATGCTAACTTGATTGACCATCAACAAGATTCATCTTTTTATTTATTGTTTTACATACAAAGTGGCCACTTAGAATTTAGCTTGAAATGGCAACACCTACTTGATGTTACAAATTTACATTAAAACTCAAATTCTAGTAAAGGATTCACATATCCTTCTACCGCGCTAAAGTGGGATACACAGAGATTTCATTTATTCCAGTTGCAATAAATACTATATGTTTGGAGACTACGTACTATTCGCTACTATGTGCTTTGTCTCAAGGAGTGTTCGGTGTGGGATGGCGATGCCAAGCAATTTATAACAAGAAAAGAAAGGTTTACTAAGAGAGAGTTATGATAGTTAATTAATCAATTTCAATTTTAGCTTAATTTCAAGGTCTTACAACCACCCTTAATTGGAAATTTTACATTACTTGAAGAAACATTAAACTTTTATCAATAACAATAAGATTACTTGTATACAATTAGATTTACTAATGATCATAATGATATGGGTGGGACCGTTTGTCACATCCCAATCCGCATAGTAAGACATTGTCCGCTTTGGGCCACGTCCTCACACATTTGTTCTTGGATTTCCACCCAAAACACGTCTTACTATAAGGAGGTGGGTTTGTACATATAAGGCACATCATTTCCCCTCTCCCAGGCGATGTGGGATCTTGCAATCCACCCCCCTTAGGGGCCCGATGTCCTCGTCGGCACACTTCTGGCCGGGGAGTGGCTTTGATACCAAATTGTCACATCCTAGTCCGCATAGCAAGATATTGTCTACTTTGGGCCACTCCCTCACGGATTTGTTCTTGGGTTTCCACCAAAAACATGTCTTACTATAAGGAGGTAGACATGTACATGTAAGGCACATCACCTTCTCTATCCCGGACGACGTGGGATCTTACACTGTTGAGAATTCCAATATTTATGCAAAAAAAATTCTAGAAGCAATACTTTGAGCTGTTTCATTGAGCAATTTTTCAGTAACACATCCACATGAGGTTATTATTCAATTCAAATTATAATATTAGAATTTATTTATGATTAATATACCATAAAAGTAGGACAATATCAATCAATTTGTCCACTCTTATTATGATACATAAAATAAAACACCATTTGACTTGTATTCCCTATATTATTAAGAAAATTCCTTTTCATAGATCGATTTCAAACTTTAATTGCAAGAAAACTAAATATTAATTCTTGGTATGAATAGTGAGAGTGGAACCAATCATTTATGTGACTTTTAGTCAAACATAGAAGGTCCTTTTATCCTTGCAAAGTTGCAGACCTAACATGGGTTTAACCCCTGTTCGAAGATGGAATACTTTTTCTTGCTTTTGGCCAACTTTCTATGCTCACTTTGAAAAGGTCACTTCCGGTCTAGCATATTTGAGTAACTGTCAACAAAAGTTGCAATGGCGCTCCTCACTACTAGTCCCTTTGCTGATTGACGCTCAGGACTGCATGGTTCAATATCTACAGCTCAAAGCATCATTCATTTATTAAAAACATAATAAAATAAAATTTTAAGCAGCTAAAATGGAAGACCTGGAGTTGCATGTAGTTAATCATCATCCCAATTGTGGCATTCAGGAAAAAATCGATTTGATCAAGTGTTCACTCAATTCAAACTTATTTCGTACAGAGAGGGAGAGAGAGAAATGTTACGCCATCCTATGGTTTTGGCCCTTGTACCGAGTGAGAGTTATGTGTGTGTCAATATGGTCAATTACTGTTTCGGGTTCAAGCGAGGCATAAGCACTCTTTGCTTTTACATTTCAGCATCATATATTCAATATTAATGTAAGTAACTGAGTGGCCTTGCTACTATAGTACATTGGGACCTAGCTTTGTTTTGGTTCCCTCTTCTCAAAAGAAAATTTCAAATAAGAAAATCACACATGATTCCTAGAAGGTACATGAATAATGCATAGGTACACGCATAATGCATATACCAACTATAAAATTACATATATGAAGCAAAATGCGTGAATGATACCAAATATTACATCTCCACCATGCAATGATAAAACCAATTCCATGAATGATTTGATTGATTTATTGTGAAGAAACAAAGCCATCATGAGATGCCAATTGGAGACTATGGAGCAACGCAAACAACGCTGCAGGGAAGCATATGCACGCAACCGGCCGGGTACACTAGTACTGCATTACACCCACTTCCGTCACCTGCATGTTATTATTCGCTTACGGCCATGCATGATGCATGGGACTTGCGGACGATTGTGGGTCTCAGTCATGTAAATGCATGCTTTTCCTCTTCCAGGAAACCAACCAACTCCCACATTCCCACACTTACTTTTATCCTTTTGGATTATTCTTTACTCATGGAAATATAACGGCGTCGCTTCCCCCTCCCTACATCCATGTGAATTATTGTCCTTTCTTGGGAGAGGGTCAATGTGCAGTCAATTATTAAGAGGGTGATTAATAAAGAGACTAATGCATAAACATATATATTAATTGGGGCTACTGTCACATCCTGGCCCAGGGCGGATCACTTCCCGAACCCGCTCCACCACCTTAGCACGATATTGTTTGCTTTGGGCTTAATATTCCCTCACGGTTTTGTCACTTCCCGAACCCGCTCCACCACCGTAGCACGATATTTTCTGCTTTGGGCTTACCATTCCCTCACGGTTTTGTTTTTGGGAACTCACGAGCAACTTCCCAGTGGGTCACCCATCATGGGATTGCTCTGGCGCGCTACTCACTTAACTTCGGAGTTCCCATGGAACCCGAAGCCAGTGAGCTCCCAAAAGGCCTCGTGCTAGGTAGGGATGAGAATATACATATAAGGATCACTCCCCCTGGACGATGTGGGATGTCACAGCTACTTAGTTGGTGCAAATTATAATGAAAATATGTCTTTAGCCCCTGAAACTTAATTTTCCCCACATAAAATCCGACATAAGATTTTTACTTAAACAAAACCCATTAACTAGATTCCACATCAGCAAATTCATTAATTATGCTTGACTTTACACATTTGAAAATTTTTAGATGCCTAAAATAACCCTATTTTAATGTTTTTTTTTGAACAAAAATGTTAGGTATTTATTATATTTTTTTTTGTTTGTCAAACAATAGATTAATTTGTTAGATTAGATATTAGATTAGGGAGTCGGTGGGGTTTGAACCCACCTTGTAGTGCAAGGGTGGGCTAATTGCTACCCCTATTTTAATGTGATATATATACACAATTAATTTGATGCAGATTGTTAGGGAGAATTAATTATTTTGCAAAAAAAAAAATGTTATAAATTCATTGCCTAATATATAATAACAATAAAACATGCATAATATATGTAATAATACGTGCATAACAAGGTCAATAAAAAAATATTATACTAATTAATTTACCTATATGTAAATTTATGATTAGCAAATAACTTATATTTTGTAGGTAAATTAATATTGAATCAAATAACATTCCTTCATTTGTAGGCAACTTATTTTCCATATACTATTATATATATTTGACACATTTAATATTGAATTTAATATTATTTTATTCTTTAACATTAGAAAATTATGAAAATGCCCTTGTTGGACTATATTCGTGGACGTTTGAAGCCCTATCACTTTTTATAACATTTCACATATTTCTAGGTGGTACGTGTTCTTACAAACACGTGAGCGTGAATGGGCGTAAATCAGATGATTTATGCATGTTTCCCAATGAAGGGCAAAATGGTAAGTTTGCACTCTTGGGAATTTATTACTTGTTTATTGAGACAATAGTGAGTTGTCGGTAGTGCAGGCTGCATACTGTAATATTGATTGCTTATTCGTTGGGTTCGTTAAGCAAGTGGGCAAGTAGGCTCATTGATGTTAGTATTTTATTAGTTAGGTATCGTACCTAATTAATAATTATTTAGGCTTGACCCAAAGACACACATATATTTTTGAAGTACTTGATGATATGAACGTGTGGGCATAAGCGGTATTGAATTTGGAGCTACGACGAGGATATCACGAATTACGGAGCATGAAGGGCGTTTTGCTCACGCATGGGAGATATTTTTTGGGTTGTCTTTTGTAGCTTTGGGGTATGTGCTAAGTGG